TCCCACAAAGGATTGCGAGAATTGGAGCATGAATTAAAGCAACATAATCCAGCTCGACTTCCCCTTTCAACCTTACACCTTGTCCGAGCTCAAGGTATCCATCCAGGCCGTCTGGAGACGGTCCATCATGTCTCTGTAATGAGTTGCCCATTGCGGTCCATGAATGGCAGACCAAGTGGCACAGTGTGCAATAGCGACGAGATACTGCATAGGCAGTCGGCTCTTCCTCCACCGTGCATCCATACTGATCTGCAAGGTCCAGCGGCTTTAACCCTAGGTTTAGAGTCAAGTACGCAAGGTCCCCACATGGGATCGCCGAGGTCGCAGTTCTCGAAGTCAATTGCCCAAAGCTGCCCCTTTTCGTCAAGCATCACATTTTGCGAGTGATAGTCGTTGTGGCAAGGGACGTGGATTGTCGGAGTCGCGAACAAGACATTCTTTGAATGCGATAAGACAGCATCGACGAGGCAAACTTCGTCCAGGGTCATGCTAGCCTGACGCTTTGCCTCATCGACGTATGACTGCACCGCAATGGATGGGGCTGTAATGCTTCATCCACGTTGTTGTTGGTTGACTATGCAGTTTCTGCAGAAGCGCCATGATGCCGGCGATTCGACCGGTAACATCAGCAGGAGAGAGAGTGCGGCCCCTGATGAATTCAGTTGCAAATGCGCCGCTCTGCTCATCCAGGGCGACAACACGAGGGCCAATGCCACGCTCGGCGGCCCAGGAAGCTCGCACTCCCTCTGCCAGGCACGTCGAAATTGATTCAGCCGTGTGTTGCTTGGGAACTTTGACCATGTAACCCTGGGCAGCGACATTGATTTTGATGCAGTCTTGCGTGGACCAGCCGGTTTGACGGGTTGAGCAGAATGTTGGCTCGGTAGAGCTGTCGATCGTCCGGCACATATCGATGGCGAGTGAAATGTTCCCCGCAGTTGGGGGTGTCGGTGATGGCCATTCGCTCGAATCAACCAAATCAGCGGGGGCTGAGTGGGCCTTCAAGTTCAGTCTCGGCGTCTTGCCAAGAAGATTGTCGATTCTCAGCGAGAGTTTCTCATAAAACTCTTCGGGTGTGATGCTGAGGACCTCTCCACAAGAGGTGGTAATCTTGACGCGAGATGGCACCAGTTGGTCTATCATACCCAGCAGGCTGCTGGGCATGTCACGTCTCAGAAGCGGAGCACAAGTCATTAGCACCTCCACCAAGGAGTGATGAGAACCACTGAGGAGGAGTGATGCAGTAGCGAATTGGACCGCTGGTAGTTCTTCTTCCGGCCCGTTCAGTGCGAGCCAGAGGTTCAGAAACCGGTAGGCGGTGCCAGAAGGGCCGCTGGTCATAAAGAGGCCTTTCGACGTGCATTCAAGGACGATCGGATTGTCTTCCACGAGTCTGTACTTGTGGGCCCCACAGGCGTACGGCAGCATACAGCTGCCATGTGTTGCCATTGAGGCGGATGGACCAAAAAGAGACCGGATTTCGACCTCGGACACAGGAGGATTGCGGGCATTTCTGACACGCAGCCCGCTGCTCCAAAGGTGTTGTGTATAGGGACCTGGCATTGTACCATCTGAGTCCCCGGGGGCCCTTCTCTCCACCGCAACCGGCTTCCAAAGGCGCCGAAGCTCCGTAGGGGGCGAGAGGATCTCCTCAGTCAGGTGCTCGTGTGCGTTTGCAACCACGTCGATGACATGAAGGCCGTTCGGAACGCCGCTTTGGTTCAGCTGCAGCAGCAATGGATCCGAGGTGTTGTGTGCTGCAACTAGGCGTTCAAGCAGGCTTCGCAGCGGGGGAAGAAGATCTCGTAATATATGGAAGTGCTGCCTGTGATTGCCCCTGGCACAGAGCTGGCGTATCTCTGTTATTCGCACATCCTCTGGCAGCCAAGCGCTTCTGATGCGAGCAACAGTCTCAAAGAGGCGACAGAGTCTCTCGAGGATGACTCTCATAGCAGCCTCAGGAATAGGAGATAGTGCCATGACCTCGGCTATCTCTCTTTCAACGGTGCGACTCGTGGTGGTTGCTGAGATACGGTTGGCGACGATCTCTGCCTTGAGTTGAGCCGGAACGAAGACTGGAGCGTCCGAAGACAAGCCTGCAGACATGAGCAAGCGCTGCTTGAGACAGGTCTCCCCATCTCCTTGGTTCCCTGGCTCGGGGCTTTGCGGAGTCGAATGTTGCTGGAGATGTTGTATCTGCTCGGCTAGGGCGTCTAGAGTCATTCCGCGCCCTGGTATTGTCGGGTCATTCAAGGAATATTGTGCGGTTGGATAATGTATGAACCAAAACTAGGTACCAGTAGTACTTAGAGAGTGAGACAGTTGTATTTTGAGCCTGGGTTAGGTTGATGGACAGATGAACAATGCACGCGTGTCAGGAGATGAAGATGGCTTATTATATAGACTCATTTCTTGTGTGCTAGGCTCAGGCAGAGATCATGGAAACGTCCTACAACTCAAGCCCTTTGCGATTGTGGCCGTTGTGGTTACAAGAGGCCTCATTTTGCGACTCATTGCGAGAAACTCTGCTAACTTGAACTCTGCCCATCTAAGACGTTTTCAATGGGAGAGACCGTCTCATGATCAACTTCTGATACCTTAAGCACTTCTCATATTCCGTGCCTTTTGAGGCCTCATCAGTACACTTGGGGCTCTCATGTCCCTCGGATGACCAATCCAACCCGATATGACGATGCTTTTGGGTCTTCATGTGATGATTGAGACGGGAACTGCTCAACTCTTCGCACCTGAAAACATAGGTATCTTCAAACCCAGGAGTTCGGTTAATCAAACAGCAAATCCCGTCGACAATTTGAAGAGGCAACCGAGTTATCATTACAGGCACGGCTCATGTGCGGTCGGCTCGTTAGGTCGGAGCTGAGGCGGTCCCAACTCCCGGCCCGTTAAGCGGCCAAAACTTCTTCTCAGACGCACCAGGAACCTACCAAATTTGCAAGAGCGTCTAGACCGAAACTGACTCATATCATGGATTAGTAAGGTAGGCCAGATGAGACTGCTTCTTTCTTCAGTTGGTGGTTGCATATCATGGCGCAGTGGGTATAGTACCCCTCAGCCTTGCAGCATGGCCGGGACTGGAACCCGACTTGAAGCCGTCACGAGTGAATCTTGAGGACCATACCTAGTACTTGGGCAGCGCTACCCAGATAAATGATTATAAATCAGTCAACATCAGCATGATCATGTGCCCCTTTCAAAGGTTGCCTTGATGACAGCCTGAAGTTCGGCGGAATGCAAGGTGACGTTCTGTTCAGATCTATGGTGCTCGCTTTAGAGTATTCGGAGACATCATCGTCTAGGTAGGAACTGAATGATGGCTATAAGTACAACCTATCCCTCACACAGAACATCATGATATTTCCACCACAAATCATCAATACGCCTTTATCCCGAGTCGTCCTTCAAGTTCGATACCTACCATAGTCAAGTTGCTCTGCTTCATCTAGTTCGCTGTCACATCGATCGGAACCTATCTGTTACTTGCCAACTTCATCCTGTTTGTCTTGCCATTCACATCCATTCCTTCTTCATTTTGATCTACCTCAAAGGCAATTGCGACTCGGAAGTTCTCAGCCCGTTGGACGTTCTCTCTGCCGCCAGTTCGTCCCAGGTAATACTACCTAGGCCCTAGGCTGTACTCGACATGGCTTGCGACGCCTCCTGCAAGTTGGGAATGTGGAAAGAGGAATGCAATTTCGGCATTTTCGAACATGTTGTATGCCATTGATCGGAGCATTTGGCAGTCGTCAGTCGTCGTGGCATTCTGACCTATGACGGTCTCAACATCCAAGCAAACCAGCTCGCCCACCACTTGCAGTCGATCAACCTCGGACCAGAGAATGTGGTTGCCGTCAGTCTTGAGAGAGGAATCGACTACCTCATCGCTATGTTCGCCATTTGTAAGTATTACTAAGCCTGTAATTTCCGAAGCAGAATTTTGTGGCTAACAATGTTAACAGGGAAAGCTGGAGCCGCATACCTCCCACTTGATGTGGCGATGCCACATGATCGTATGATGTTCATGGCATCGGAAGCCAATGCCTGCTGCCTCATCACTACGAGAGATGTTGCCCAAAAAAAGGCACTGCAACACCTCCTTATGCCAACGATCTTCCTCGACGACCCTGATTTCCTACACCACTTACGGAGAAACCCTCCAACAAACCCCGAGCGACGAGCAAACCGAGATAACTTGGCCTACATCTTCTACACCTCGGGCACAAGTGGTAAGCCAAAGGGCGTTTGCATCACTCATGGCAGCATCGTCAACATGGCTGATGACACTAGACAAAGCCAAGAGATCACGGCCTCTGACAGAGTGTTGCTCTTCTCGCCATTCTGCTTCGATGCCTCCATTCGGGACATTCACGGCGCCCTGTTACTGGGAGCATCGCTCTATGTCCCTGACGAAGACGAGATTTTTCCGGGAAACCTTGTGAACACGCTCCGCCAGCATTCAATTACATACGCCGTGATCACGCCATCTGTTCTGCGAGCTTGCAAGCCGCATGATCTTCCCGACCTCTCAACCATTGTGGTCGCTGGAGAAGCTGTGAACAGGCACCTGATCCGGGAATGGGGCACTGGGAGGGTCCTGATCAATGCATATGGTCCTACCGAAGCAACCGTTTGCAGTACCAAGAGAATCTACCATGATGGTTGGGTTCCCCCCCAACATGCCAGTTACCATTGGCACACCGATCCTCAACACTCAGGTTCACATTCTCGACGACGACAGCAACCCTGTTCCTGTCGGCAGTGTAGGGGAGATCTATGTGCACGGGCTGGGGGTCAGTCAGCGCGGCTATCTGAATCTTCCTGAATTCAACGCTAAGTGCTTCAGGGACGATTTCTTCAGCGCACCGGGCCGTACATACAAGACTGGAGACACGGGCCGAATGCTCCTTGGCGGGGAGATCGAGTTCCTGGGCCGGAAAGAGAAGAAAGCACAAATCAAGCTCCACGGCCAGCGCATTGAGACCGAGGAGATTGAGAATGTCCTCCGCATGCATAGCGCCGTCCATGATGCCGTCGTGGCACTACGAGGGGCAGAAAGCCATAAGATCTTGGCTGCTTATGTTGTCCCAGCAGTTCCGTCACATCTCAGGGTTGGTCTCGTCGATAGACTTGAGGCACTACTCAGGGAGCATCTGCCTTCATACAGTGTCCCGAGTTCTATCTGCCTCGTCGACGCTTTCCCGGTTCGAGCTACCAAAAAGATCGACCTTGACGCCCTTCCGGATCCAACCAACTACGCTGCCTCGTCCCAGCCCCGAGAAAACAACACAGTGCTGTCTCCGACGCAGTCACTCGTGGCGAAAGCGCTGTTCAAGGTGCTGAATCTGCCGGAGAACACCGAGGTGACCCAAGACACGACATTGGCGGAACTCGGAGGCACATCCCTGCTTGCTTCCTTGGTGCTCCGTCAACTGAACGAAACATTCGGCTGCAGGCTCCGTCTGGGACAAATATACAGACGGAAAACCTCCATTCGGGACTTGGCGGACCTCGTCAGTCATAGAGGGAAAGAAGTCGCCTTCACATCGGACAACCTCCAAGACAAGGTCGTCTTGCCTCACGATATTCGACCCATGTCCTTGCCCACAGATGGCAATTGCGGAGCCTCCAGAGTGTTCCTGACGGGGGCAACGGGCTTCCTTGGGGCACACGTTTTGTCAGGACTGCTCAGCGCGGATGACACAACGCAAATAGTGTGCATCGTTCGGGCCGCCGACGCGATGGAAGCATACAAGCGTGTCCAATCCAATCTCCGTGCCTGGGGCTTGTGGAAAGACGTGCACGCGGGCCGCTTTGGTGCCGTCGCCGGGGGACATCAGCAAGCCCTTCATGGGTCTTCGTCTCGATCACTACTGGAGACTGAGCAGAGACGTCAACACTGTGTGGCATTGCGCAGCCGAAGTGAACTTCATTGCTCCGTACGAAGAGCTCGAAGACACCAACGTCAATGGCACTGTGGAAGTGATGCGATTTGCGTGCGCAATCAAGCCGAAGCAGTTTGTATATGCTTCGACACTCTCTGTGTTCTTCGGCGTCGGCAAAGAGATACGCTGCGGCAGAGAATCGAGCACCGCCGCATGGGGCATTGGGATCGTCACCGGGTACGGCCAGACCAAGTGGGTAGCGGAGCAGCTTGTGTTGGAGTTCCAGAGCCGTGGTGGTCACGTCCTCATCTGCCGCCCTGGCCGCCTTCTAGGAACTGAAAAGTTCGGAAGATGCCTGAAGGATGACCTCACAGTCAGAATGATCACCAACTTCGTTCATCAAGCACGGTCAGGCTCCGGACCATGACTGGGAGATCGACTTCACTCCAGTGGACGCCTGTGCCAGGGCAATGATCGACCTCGCCCTGAGGCAGAAGACAGGCATCTACCACTTCTTCAATCAGAAGACTATTTCGTTGCGTGAACTTGTCGCACAGCTTCGGAGACTCGGGTATCACGTACGATCCCTTCCATACGACAACTGGAAATGTGTGATTCTGGAAAGTCCCGAGCTCAGGCCGCTCGCTTCCCTTTTCATGGAACCAGCCAGGAACGACGGACTAAGTGCGTTCGACGCCCTTCTCGATACAACAGTGTTCCGAAAAAGTTCCTACTCCATGTCTGCGATGGCGACCGAGCTTCAGAATAAGGAGATTCTGGCCTGCCCGGTGCCCTCAGACCTCCTGCGGATATATCTGAACGCAGCCTGATGCGATTCACGACACCCTGGGAATGACTAGGGCCTTTGTGGTACATTGTATAGCTAGATTGGCAGGAACGTCTTAAGGTAGTCGCTGCATGTTGGGTAAAAACCGGGGGCTTGGTTTAGCTTGGTTACCTAGTGTGGAATGTGGATGGGTTTCATTGTCCTTCAATGCTATGATGGAGACTTGGACTGCCATGCGACTGCAACAGTACCTTAGTCGCAACTTCCAAAAGGGTACCTTATTTGAGATTGGATTGTAGCGAAGTGGAGGAACCATAGGTATATTGTCGGAATGATAGGATAGGTTCTCTTAGATAGATTAGATAGATTGTTAATAGATCGTCGAATAGATCGTCAGTTTGTCACCACCTGGGTAGTCATTAAGCTGCTTCTCAAAGAGTCAAAACCTCAAACCCTACTCTCAAGGCCCAGCAGAGCACTTCCTATACCTTCGCCGCACCGCTTACCAGCTCCGGGTCTTAGCCTCCCTCTTCTCACCTTTGTCTCACTTCAGAAATGGATAGTGTTCTGTCAAAACCTTGGCAACATCCTCCCCGGCATTCTTCTCGGCCTCCTCTACCGCTCTTTGAGTTTCTTGTCTATAACCGTAGGATATTCATCCGCGAGAGCAAAAGAACACCACTGTTATGGTCAACAGCAAGTTCAGAGCGCCATCACGGTCTGTTGAGCAGTTGAGGATCAGAACGCGCACGAGCAGGTTGTTCAAATGCTTTTTTTCCTAAGGATCCGAGCCTTTTCACCGTTCCTAGACTACTTTGCTCTCAGGAAATCGGACTCCATCGGAGTCCAAGCCTCCAAGTCGGTAAATACGGAGATATCTACCTCTGGCCAACTTTCGTCGGCCGAGATTTGAAGATGGCTAAATGCCGCATGTCCGCTGGGCTGGCCGAAGCCAAAATCCAATTAGCATATGTAGTGTTATGTGGTTATGCAAAGGCTTGAATGCGAGCTATCTGTTGACCGCTAGACCCCCAAGCCGGGTATCATCGCTACCTAGCGAGCCATTCCGTACCATGCAAATCCCAAAGCTCCAGTGACCTTCGGCAAAATCCTAGTTCTCAGGTGCCTCCACGCTTCCAGCGGTTCCCTGCTCATAATGAACCCATCCATGCGCTCTAGTGTCCAGTCGGGTTAGGGCAGTATCCCACCCTTTACTAATAGACGGCGCCATCGCTGTCATCTTCTGTGGTTGATGCTGAGTCGTCGTAGTAGTAAGACAAGTCACTTGGATACCAGCGCCGCCCTTCCGGGTCGGTCACAACCAGGGTTGGAATACCCGGCATCGCCCGCCGTGGTGGAGTCTTGAACTTGTGCCAGCGGCAAGTCTGAAGCTTATACCTCGGATCCGTCGCCGTCAGCTCGGAAGTTGCCCGGTCGTATACCTCTTTCCAGATGCTCAGGTATCCATTGTTGTCGATGTAAAACAAGTCTTGCCACCTGATATGGCGCAGGCGCTCCTCCGTCATCTTGTATCGCTTGCTGTGAAGGCGGGCAAGGTCCATCTTCCGCTTCCAGGCCGAGAGGAATTCGGGGGTCATGGGCTGCTCTTTCTGAGGTTGCTCAAGAAGGTAGACTGGACGTGTGGGAATTGTATCCGCGTCGTTCTGCTCAAGGTCCGCCGGCATCTCTCTGTCTGCTGATTCACCATCGTGTGCTGTCTCGACGACATCGGTCATTGCAGTATGCTCGTTTCCCGCGTTGGCAGGGGCGGTTTTCCTGATTCGAAAGCCATTACCGAACGCCGGGGCCAGGGTCGAGCCCGCCGGCTGGAGGGGGAGCATTCTGCGAAGCTTGGAAAGCTGCTCATTGTCAAAGTCGTAGGCGATCCGATCGGCTAGAAAAGATTTGTCCTGGTCATCCAGGTCCAAGAGATCTCCGACATCCAAGAACTGCTCCTTCTCACGTCCAAAACAAATGAGGCGAGTTTGAAAGGCTTCGTCGCCCAAGTAGCCGTCCGCCATGCTGTCGGTGAGTATGTCAGTATGTTATTAATTGTTGGGTGGCGTAGGCAATTTGGCAGCCAAAGTTGGTGGCGGCTTGAAAGTAACTTTTCGCCCTTGTTTCACGTTCCTTTATCCTTATGATCGTGCGAGGAGTGGCTGTCCTGGTCGTCGTAGTTGAAAGTGCGAACGGCTCGCGAGGTAAAGGAGATTCTTATTGTTTTAGGTTCCGATGTGACTTGAATTGTCGGGTCAGAATAGATCTGGTGAGGGCACGAAATTGAAACGTCAGTAAACAATCACCTATGCCCGGTAATCAAAAGAAACAAGTCTTACCGCAGTTGCGCGAAGATGGTGCTGGCCGAGTTGTGCACCTGGGAGATCAGGATGGTGGCGCAACGTTTGCGACTCCTGAGGCCACTCCCATGCCGCCCGTTTGAGAGAACAGTGCCCGCAAACTTACTGAAGCAATGTTTTACTATATCTGCCTTTGTCGAGTCGCAAGCAGCAGAGAAGCAAGGAGTTGGGGCAAGCAAGGCCCCGATAATGATCAGCAGGCGCAAACAGGTTCCTCGAGTACTGAGAAGTGAAATGACATGTGGCTGGACGGCTTATATTTGAGGTCCGCTCAAAGCATCAACACACGGACACGTCCTGGACACGAGGCACGAGAGGCCCCGCAGTTCCATCACTTGATCAGGGCGCCGGTTCTTCTATCCGGTGGGTGATAGGATCGAATCCGCTTTCACGGCCGCCGCCGAGTTTGATGGACCAAATGAACAGTGCTACGCCCGTTTTAGGAAAGAGACGGCCTGTCATGGTTCCTACCTGAGGTACATCTGTCAGTTCGGTGATGGCTTTGCAAAACTCGGAGGAAGTTGCGAGTATATTGCGTGGTAGCCTCCCTGGAGGAGTGTACGGGAACCACACAATCACGATGTCAACTAAGGTACACCTTCTGATCCGGACTCTTGCCGCATCTGAATAACCTGGTGGAGGTAAACGGAGGACGGGAGGTGCGATAAATATACTACCCCAGTATTAAGAGGCAAGGTACTTGCGTCTTGTAGGTCGTACCTCGTACCTACCTCACCAGCAGGTACCTGTAATCATGGAAAGAGATCCAGAGACTAGAGGACGCCAGCCGTGATTTCCCTAGCAGACGACACCGAGGATGCAATGGCACTGGTTTTAGATAGCATAGTACAGCGCACGCAGTCTTCGGACGACGGCTTGATCCCCTAACAACAATCATAGCAATACGCAATACCACTTGATCATGCGACTAGCTTTGGATGGTCGAGCTTGGTACAGTCAGCTAGTGTCTTAGGATAGTTTCTGGGGCACCACCTCATGGAACGGACTTGTAAAATCCACGCCTAGATAATATGTATAAAGTCATAGCGTTGTCGTGCGCTAGTCTTTCCCCCGCTGGTCCGTCCCCGTCGGCTTGTAGAATAAAATGAAACTCACGATTGTAACTGTACCGTTGTACCATAGACATTCATATTCATGGCTTATACGGAGTAGGCCGCCACGTATTGACAAGCCATGAAGACACCTCTTCGCGTATTATTGCAACACACGGAGAATGGTGGATGTAGTAAGTTAAGCTCCCTAGAGAAGGCGGGAGCATAAGCAGGTAGGAAGAAAGTAGGTATATTGTACCTCGAGGTAACAAAAGGAAGATGGAAGCTTAAGATACTATATATATACAAAAGAGAGCTTGCTATAGAGTTAGGGGCTGTTAGGGATCTCTAATAGGGGTTAAGAGAGCCCTACAAACAGTGCCTAGAACTCAATATGTATGGCTAACTCCGTACGCTTAGGTTACGAACTGTTGGCGTCCCACTGACTTCTCACTAGCGCCCCGCCGTCGTCCCTCCGTTAAGGTACAATTACGTGCTGGCAAGAACCTCTAGTTCTTCAAACGCAAACGCACCATCTAGACAAAGGCTAATAAGGGCATTAGATCTCTGAAGACTACATACCGAACCGCGCCGCTATAGTTTCCGTCGCTGAATATCCGCCATATATACCCTAAATCTCCGATATCTCTTCGCTCCAATCCAGGCTCCAGTACTCCGCTCAATCCGTAGATCCATTCAGATCCAAATCTCAATGCTTTGCCTCCCTTTTTCCATACCGAGTCCTCACTCATTGTCCTCCATCTAGTTTAATCGACCAAGATAACCGCCTCGAACAGAATAAATTGTTGAGAAGGTGGGGATATGCATACACCGGACCAAGTGGACGAAAAAGCTGCTCACTTCCAGTGTAAGACAAAGATCCAAAGAGGCGGGATATCCCCCTTTTTGTCGCCTCGCCTTTGGTCCAACCAAAGGACCGGCCGCCCGCCCCTCGTGAAACTGAGGATACGCAAGCAGCCGCAAGTTCCCCTAAACTCACAAAAATACCACCCCTATCCAGAAATGAATTGAACGGGTACACACCGGGCTATCCAAAACATAGTCCCTATTTTTGTCCCCCCTTGGTATACAGGCCAAATTCCCATGGAGGAAAAGAGTAGAGCAAATGAAAGAAGCAAACGGAGAAGGTAGCCGTCGAGAGCCTTGGTCGACGTAGTCGCTCCATATTATGTCAGCGTCAGCACTCAAGGGTTTCTTCTGCCTTGGAGTGGCTACCACTTGAATATCGTTTCACTGGTGCCGGGGAAGCGGCCACAAAACGGCGCCCGACCACCCCGGAGAACAGGTGTCTCCTGTCGTATGCAGGGACCGCACAAGACTGGGCAACAGCGTCGTTGGAGAAGGACCGTACGCTGGCTCTTCCGGTGCGGCAGAGTGAGGATATTTGGCAAACTTCCGGTGCTCCTAAATTGGATCTTAGGCTTTGAATGACAGGCCTAAGTTGGGCATGCGGCTTCGAATGAGGGTTCGACCGAGGCTATATAGGAGCTGCAAGATTAAGCACTGACGGCAATGTTCATTGGCTTCTGTCCTGGGCCATCCTCCTTCCTCCTCCACTCGCGGGCTGGTAGCGACCGCGGTAGACGCTCTCAGTACATCGTCCACCTGCGCATTTAGAACCTCGTGGCTTCCGTCGGCCGGTACGCGTTTGCCCTGGCAGCCTCGTACTGCACGCCCGTCATCGACTCCGGTCCTGCGGGCGCCGCGGGGGACGGTAACGTTCTCAGAGGAGGCAAGTTAGGCGGCCGCGGCCTCCCGTACTGGTCAGTGGCATACGGATCCGATACTGGCTGGGACGGTGCCATGTGCATTCTGCTGCGTAGGCTTTGGACGTCCTGCTTCAGTGCAGCAATTTCTTCATCTTGGCTGTTTATATGAGACTGAAGTGTTGTGATATGGGATTGGAGGTGCCTGATCAGATCGTTCTGCCGCTGGTGTTCCGAAATGGCTGCAAGCGCATGTTAGCGGATTTTGCTGCGGAGGGAATCTACGCATAAGAAAACCAACCCTTGGTGAGAATCTCCCATTTAGAAGCTTTGGAACCCCGCTCCTGGGGCATCAAATCTCTGAGTTGCTCAAATAATTCCTTCATTTCGGTGCGCCGTTTCCGCTCAGCCAATTTATGGCTGACCCTGAGCTCGGGTGTTCGGCTGTACGGTTGGGTACCGGAATGGGAGCCGCCTTCCTCGTTCCGTAAATCCCCCAGCTGCTTATGCTGTAAAGTGTGGTGATGAACGGTCGAATATTCTCCAGAAGCGCTAGAGAGCCTTTGATAAGCATTGCTGCCCACGTTTTCCTCCAATCGCCGCTGCCCTGGAGGGAGTCTCGACTCGGTTGTGTACTGGCTGCTGGCGAGTGATTCGGCGACACTACTCCTCCTCGAGTCGATCAGCGACTGAGTCGCGGCGGACGGCATCCTCTGGATTTCTTCCTCGGGAAAAGCCCACGCCTGCCCCTTGGTCGGCTCAGCTGCACGGGCAATCTGGCTTGTTGCCGGCCCCGTGATGGCCGGTGCGATCCTCATTGTCTTTGGGTGGCCATCGGGGTTGCGCTCGGCGTTGGGTTGATATCCATTCGAGATGCGGTGAACCGCAAGACTCTCGAGCCCTGGCCGCGGGGTCCTCTGCTGTTGCAGTGTGTTGTGGATCGAGCTAGTCGACTGGTTGTGGCTGGCGTAGGGCGAATTTCCCAATCGCAGGTCATGGAAACCCTGATTGATCCTGCTGTCGACGCTCTCCCTTCGCGATAGTGCCTCGGGAACGTCGCCACTCGCGAAGGAGGCGCTGTTTGGCGCTGAATCCAGTGACTGCGTTCGATCGAAGCGCCGTGGGTCTGCGCTTCCAGGCGTCGTCGGCGAAACCATCGAAGCGACGCTCATGTTGCTGTTCGTTGGCGACACAAGCGGTTGCGGCAGGAGGTTGGATGTCGTGGTCGGAGACGGCGTCTTGTCGATGGGCGACGTCTGAAAACCGGAGCTCGGGGGGCTCAGCACGCCTAGACCAGATGCCGCTGAGGTGTCTGCAAGATTTGCTCCCGTCAGCGAATTGATTCAAGCAACGCCGGCCGAGGGGTGTCCTAACGTTTGCTTGATGCATCGGTGCTAGAATAGTAAGCGGAGTCCCGGTTGTCGTCAGGGGAGTTTAGCACGCCAGCGAGCGCAGCGGGGAACTTCTGCGATGCTGGCCGTTGATGATCCATATTCAACATTGAGCAGACAAAGACAAGACCGAGTTTTCCCCAGTCTAGCCCTCTCGGAGACGATGATTTCTGGTGCAGGAAGCTCTAGCAAGCTTCACCAACTGCGGGCCGCTGATAATGAGGGACAAGACGAGAGTGCAGTAAGTGACAGGGGCGCTGCAATTGCTGCAATTGCTGCAATGCCGACTCGAGATGTTATACGGTAAGCTCCGCTCAAAGACAAACGACTCCCACCGTCGTAACAACACAAGTCGGTGCAGAGAGAGAAACGGTCATTAAACGAGAATGCGGCCTATAGGGGGCTGGGGCTCCCACTCGTTGTTGGAAAATACACAATGGCTCGACGCGCACAATCGACGAGTCGAGGCGAGGAGAATGCGGGAGGAAGGTTGTGGGCAGATGTAATATCGACAGCCGCCAGGACGGGGTTCAGACAAGGGGCAGGAGCGCTGTAACTGTCAGGGCGGACCAGCACGTTTTTTTCAAAGAGCCAGCATCAGACCGGAGTTTGGGAGGGTATGGTGGGGCTCGATCGGTAAACCCATGTGGTTACCCTGCTTGTACTGTATTGTACACGACCGGTACTGTACTGTACACGAAATCCTCACGTGTTGTACATGGGGTACAGTACTCCGTACACTGGGTAAGGTAGTCATGTTACGGAGTGCCATGTCACTCGTACTGCACAGTACCGTACATGCATATGGGAATATGAGTGTAAGTGGCGAGTGCCATTTGCATCTAGTGTATACCTATACGATACCTCATCCATGCTAAGCATCGCAGCATGCTACGGCCATCCGCAGGTAACAACTTCTGAGTGTTCAGGTGACTGGGCCGCGGCATGCTGAAATTCAAACGCTAGTACCACAGCAGAGAGGGTTAGAGCAAGTGAAGCGAAGGCCACAAACGCCACATCTCTTGAATCAAAGTTGCTCTGACACAGTGTATTACTATCCTGAAAGAAACATACTATTAACGGTACGGAGTACTGAACTTGAATAGCGATTACTACCGTAGCCGGTGCAGGGTGTATGTACTGTAATCATGTATTCAGTGTTACATGTAACGTACAAGCGCAGGGCCTAATCAATAGCAAGCCGGAAACGGCAGGAGGAACGTGCTCGCGCCGGCCACTGGACCACATCCTAACACTGCCACGACAGGCCTAGCTCAGTGAGGGCGGCGCGTTGTCGCAGCGGGTAACATGGGGAGCTTTTGACTCCCCAGGGGGACTTTTGCGCATCTCTTGAGCGCGCTGAATAATTACCTAGGTAGTTTAGAAACGTGCCCCCTACACCTGAGAGTTCTGTGCCGTATGCGCGTGGACCTCGAGATACACCCACTACCTTTGTCACTTCACAGAAGGTAGGACATCCCTTTGGCTGTGGGATGAGCCTATCTCTCGCCAACACGCGAAACTGGCCAATAGATAGGCATTCCGGCCGTCAAGCCCAAAATCTGTACAAATCGCTACATCGCCAGCAAGAGCGACAACGGATTTTTAATTGATTTCTTCAGCATAGACACGCTAACACGCGTGACCAGGTAAGTCTCTCCAAGTCTTTTTTGGGCGCTAAGAGATAGGCTCATTCCACAGCCAAAGGGATTGGCAGCAGGTGGCTAGTGCGAAGTGGCAGGATATAGCAGCATGGATCGGCGTGCGCTAGGCAGGCAAGCGCAAGGTCCCGAGGGCACAGCATCTGGCAGGGCTCGAGACGGAACGGGTGAAGGTGGACAGGGTAGGTACTGTATACCATAGCACGCCACCCGGGTTTTGCAAAATGGTCACCGTCCGTATTTTCAGTGCCAAGATGCTCTGGCCGTGCCAACTCTATGTTGATTTCAGTAAAAGAACCACTGTAATATTCATAGAACCAACACGGTTATATCACTCGAAGGGCAAGTTCGACTGACAAGACCTTCCTTCCCGAAATACTGACTGTAGCTATTTTGAATCAAATCCATTTTCTAGCTGTAAGTTTATTTTAACTGTAAGTTCATTTTGAAGTACCAAGGTCATCTTCAATTGAATCCATCTTCTAGCTGTAAGTGCATCTCGACTTTGAGGCTATTCTGAAGCACTGGGGTAATTGTACAAGGCCCTGGGCACTGCACTGGAATTGCCCCCTGGCACTGCACTGGATTTGCGTTAAGGCCCTGGCACTGCATTGGATTCGCGCAAGGGCCTGGCACTGCACTGGATTCGCGCAAGGGCATGGCACTGTAACTGTACAAAATATTGACGGTATATGGATTAGAACTTAGAATGTATTAGCAAATAATA